TGCACTGACGAGAAGGGAGTTCCCCAGCCTGTAGGTATGCTGCTGGTTCTCCCTCCCCAGGTGCAGCACCTTGCACTTGTCAGTGTTGAATCCCATCCTAGTCTCATCTACCCACCCCTGTAACCTGTCTAGGTCCGATTGCAGCCTATTCCTCCCTTCTAATATGCCCACATCCCCCCACATCTTAGTGTCATCAGCAAATTTGAACAGGGTACATTTTACCCCCTTGTCCAAGTCACTGATGAAAATGTTGAACAGTGCAGGCCCAAGGACCGAGCCCTGGGGGACGCCACTGCCCACATCCCTCCAGGTCAAAAATTGACCCATCCACTACCACTCTCTGGGTGCAGCCCTCCAGCCAGTTGGCGACCCATTTGACTGTGTAGGTGTCGACACCACAGTCCCCCAGTTTCTTAATGAGAACGGGGTGAGAGACAGTGTTGAAGGGCTTCCGAAAGTCCAGAAAGACGACGTCCACTGCTATCCCTGCATCTAAGGATTTGGTGACCTGGTCGCAGAAGGCCACCGGGTTGGTCTGACAGAACCTGCCACTAATGAACCTGTGTTGGTTGCCCCTAAGCATAATCTCCCCTGCTGGCCCCTCGTGGATATGGGCCAGAATAATTCTCTCAAAAATCATAGACTCAGTGACTATTAGAGTGCATTTGACTCCTAAAATGTTTACATGTAAGCAAGTGAAAGAGTGAAAGAAAGTGAAACAGGCCTCTTCTGTGGCTTGTGTCATGCTCTGGGTAACAAAAAGCTGACAGCTCAAATCTGAGTGTGAGCAAGTGATCATAAGTTACAAGCAGGAAGAATGAGAAGTCCTTGCAGTCACAGAGCTATGACTCGATCTGAATAACAGAGACTTGGTAGGAGCTCACATGGATGGGTGTCATGGATAGGTACAAACTGTTCATGGAGGAGGAAGGAGTTGCCCTATATGTAAAAAAGCCAGATGATTGCTCAGAGCTCCGGTATGAAGCCAGAGATGGGCCTGTTGAGAGTCTCTGGATTAGGGTCAGACAGGAAAACAACAAGGGTGCTGATGTGGTGGGGGTCTGCTATAGACCACCAGACCAGGAGGAAGTGGTGAATGAGGCTTTCTTCAAACAACTAGTGGAAGTTTTTCAATCATAAGCCCTGGTTCTTGTAGGGAACTTCTATCACCCCGACATCTGCTGGGAGGGCAATACAGGAAGTTTTTGGAGAGTACTCAGGACAACTTCCTGGTGCAAGTCTGAGAGCGGCCAACTGGGGGCCATGCTCTTCTTGACTTGCTGCTCACAAACAGGGGAGAATTAGTGGGGAATGTAGTAGTGGAGGGCAACTTCGGCAGAAGTGACCACAAGACAACTGAGGTCAGGATCCTGAGGAAAGGAAGGATGGAGAGTAGCAGAGTAAGAACCCTGGACTTCAGAAAAGCAGACTTCGACTCACTCAAGGAACTCATGGGCAGGATCCCCTTGGGAGCCAGACTGAGGGGGAGAGGAGTCCAGGAGAGCTGGATGTACTTTAAAGAAGCCTTATTGAGAGTGCAGGAACAAACCACCCTGATGTGCAGGAAGACTAGCAAGTACAGCAGAAGACCAGCTTGGCTTAGCAGGGAACTCTACAATAAACTAAATCACAAAAATGAAGCTTATAAGTGGAAACTTGGACAAATAACTAAGGAATAATATAAAAGCACTGCTTGTGCATGCAGGGATGAAGTCAGGAAGGCCAAAATGCAACTGGAGTTGCAGCTAGCAAGGGACGTGAAGGGTAACAAGAAGGGTTTCTACAAGTATGCTGGTAGCAAGAGAAGGATCAGGGAACGTGGGTCCCTTACCGAATGGGAAATGAAACCTTGTGCCAGAGGATGTAGAAAAGGCTCAATGCCTTTTTTGCCTCAGTCTTCACAGGTAAGGTCAGCCCCAAGACTATTGCACCAGGCAGCACAGTTTGGGGAGGAGGTGAGCAGCCCACAGGGGTGAAAGAACACATTATGGACTACTTAGAAAAGCTGCATGCATACAAGTCTATGGGGCCGAATGAGATGCACCCAAGGGTGCTGAGAGATTTGCCTGATGTGATCGCTGAGCCACTGGCCATCATCTTTGAAAAATCATGGTGATCAGGATAAGTCCCAGATGATTAGAAAAGAGTAAACATAGTGCCCATATTGAAGAAAAGGAAAAAGGAGGATCCAGGGAACTACAGACCAGTCAGCCCGACCTCAGTCCCTGGAAAAATCATGGAGAAGATCCTCAAGGAATCCATTTCTAAGCACTTGGAGGAGAATAAGGTGATTAGGAAGAGTCAGCCTGGATTGACCAAGGGCAAGTCATGCCTGGCCAACCTGACTGCCTTCTATGATGAGGTGACTGGCTTTGTGGATGCAGGGAGATCAGTGGATATGGTGTACCTTGATTTTAGGAAGGCTTTTGATATGGTCTCCCACAGCATTCTCACAGGCAACTAAGGAAGTACGGGCTGGATGAATGGATGGTAAGGTGGACAGAAAACTGGCTGGAGCATTGGGTTCAGAGCTTGATGTTTAGTTGGCATCTGGTATCAAGTGGAGTGCCCCAGGGGTCAGTCCTGGGGCCAGTTTTATTCAATGTCTTCAACAACAACCTGGAAGATGGCATAGCATGCACCCTCAGCAAGTTTGCAAATGACACCAAGCTGGGGGGAGCAGTAGATACACTGGAGAGCAGAGCTAGGATTCAGAGTGACATAGACAAATTGGAGGATTGGGTCAAAAGAAATCTCATGAGGTTCAATAAGAACAAGTGCAAAGTCCTGCACTTAGGACAGAACAATCCCATGAGTCAGTACAAGTGAGGGGCTGACTGACTGGGCAGCAGCTCTGCAGAAAAGGACCTAGGAGTTACAGTGGACAATAAGCTGAATATGGACCAGCAGTGTGCCCTTGTTGCCAAGAAGGCTAATGGCATCATGGGCTTCCTTGTTTGGTGTGTTGCCAGTAGGTCAAGGGAAGTGATTATTATTCCCCTTCATTCAGCACTAGTGAGGTCACATCTGGAGTCCTGTGTTCAGTTTTGGACACCCCACTACAGAAAGGATGTGGACAAATTGGAGAGAGTCCAGCAGAGGGCAATAAAAACAGTGAGAGGTCTGGGGGAGATGGCTTATGAGGAAAGACTGAGGGAACTGGGCTTATTTAGTTTAGAGAGGAGGAGACTGAGAGGGGACTTAATAACAGCCTTCAACTACCTGAAGCGGGGGTTGAAAGAGGATGGAGCTGGACTGTTCTCAGTGGCGGCAGACGACAGATCAAGGAGCACTGGTCTCAAGCTGCAGTAAGCGAAGTTTAGATTAGATATTAGGAAGAATTTTCTCACTAGGAGGGTAGTAAAGCACTGGAACAGGTTACCCAGAGAGGTGGTGGAAGCGCCATTCTTGGAGGTTTTCAAAACTCAGCTAGACAAAGCTTTGGCTGGGGTGATTTAGTTGGGGCTGGTCCTGCTTTGAGCAGAGGGTTGGACTAGGTGACCTCCTGAGGTCCCTTCCAACCCTGATTTTCTATGATTCTGTGAGTGGATAAACAAGAAACCAACGGATGTACAAACTTGAAAAGGAGTCTTCAAAAGAAAACTTTTCAGAGAAGTGCTCAGAAGTCTAGCACTGTGCTGAGCCTAAGGCATCTTTACACTATTACAAATTACAAGCAGCATACTAAGCCAGCATCATAAGGGCAAAAGAAGCAGAACAAGGTAAACTACCACAAAGGGGCAAGGAAGAGTCTTGACGGCTCTTTTTTCATTTTCCAGCAACCGCATAACATTTTTTTTTAGCTGTTCATGCCTTTATTTTATGCTTGCCGTTCTTAACATGTGGTATCTGAAAATACTTATTTAGATAGAATTAATCTAACCAACGTATAGAACGTGTTTGCTGCTTCAATAAAACACATGGTACAACTGCTCACCCGGAGGTGTGTAGGCATCCATGGACGTTTGCACCACCAATGAACGTCGTTTTGATGGCATGGGGACTGCCATCTTCCTTTCTTTATGTTTAGCAAGAGCTGCCTGAACTGCTTCTGTATGCACATCTAGAATGAAAGAAAAGAAGACATTTAGGCAGGCACTCACACGCAAACGTAATATGAGCATAACATCTGCAACAGAGTTAACTTGCCTTCTAATTAAGCTAACAAATCACGCTGTTGGAGCCATTTAACTGGTGGCCCATAGGCCATGTGCAGCCCACAAGGGGCTAAGTTGCAGCCCATCTGTGACTCCCCTTATTATTCAGGTTGCAACAGTGGCCAGAGTTTCTAGGTTCTGCCTCCCTCCTCAGGCTTACATATTCTGTGCCAACCGATTCAGCAGTGCAGCTCAGCATGGCTCAGCGCAAGATGCTTGGAGTGAGACCAGGGTTGCACTGGCTCACTGCAACTGTGGAGGTGACATGCACCTATAAGAGCATGAGCTAGAGCAAGGAAGGGGGGGGGGAAGAGGCACACAGGCAAATGGTGCAATGGTTGCAAGGGGAAAGGGAAGATCATCACTATACTGTCAAATCTCATGGGTACGATGGGGGAGTCACTTGGAAATTGTTAGAGTAGAAGGACTTTCTTTCAAATTCCAGCTGTTGGAAGGGCTGAGATGTAACCATCACATTCTAGAATAGACAAAAGGAGAAAATGCGACTGAAACGCTTTGTTGGTGTGGTGCTCCTAAATCCTTAAATGCTTTCAACTCCTACGAATAGAACTTGAGGTCGTTTTTTTTATTTAGTCAATACGTTTGGACTTTTTTAAAAATAAAAATGCTTGATTTGGTAAACTTCGGGCTGTAGGGGCTCAAAAACTGAAATGTGTCTGCAAATGGTAAAGCAGCAGAAAAGCAAAAAATAGATTAAGTTAAATTAAAATCAATATAATAGCTAACGAAGTGAGCAAACAAAATTGCTAGGTTTTCCTCAAAAACCTGTTTCACGAACTAGGCAATATCAGTATGATTCTGTTATGAAGCCAGTGGTTACCTCCATGGGGTCCTGATGAAATAACAACAGGATTGTTAATGAAACTAAGCACAGAAGGTAACATATAAAAGTCCTTGAGGAGACTAAAGGAAAACTGTTTGTTTAGGAATACCTGTCTCTAACTAGTCCTAGAATTGTTTATTCTTCCCAAGACTAAACCAAAGATAAAAAGGGAAGCTACAAGGGTAGCTGGAGTGAACCGCAGGGCCTGAAAAGGCTGGGGATTAAGCCAGTGACCAGAGGCTGCCCGAGGAGTGCCAGGAAGAGCTGACCAGCTAGCAAGGGGACAGGCAGAGGGAGTGTAGGCAGGTGCCTCACCCCACTTCCTGATATAGAGGAATCAGCTCTGACTCCAGGGTTTCCAGCCAGTTTATTTTACATGGGACCCCTTGCCCCCACAGTAAATAGAACAAATGAAGAAACAAGCAAGCAAGCAAGCAGACTAAATTAAAACCTGCCATCTTCCTTTAGACTTTAAGGCTAAGTACAGGCAGTCAAAAAGCCTGAGACTGAATCAGTTCAATCATTGCAGGTTAGTCTAAGCTGTGTAAATTGAACCAATAAGCAAGTGAACAGACATTCACTTTTGATTCTAGAAATGTACCCACATGCCTAAAGTGGCCCAAGCCAGAAGCTGGGGCTGCTAGAGCACACCTCCTTGCTTAGAGCAGACAGCTTGGGCCAAGGCTAGCCTGCCCACCCTGTGAGAGGGGGGTTGCAGGGAAGGTGCACAGCATGCTGGGGGACTGTGAGTTAACTTGAATCTGGAGGGGATCTGGCACAGAAGTTCAATAAAACTATTTAACCTAAATCAGTTAAGTCTGATACTACATCTATCCAGGTTTATCTTAAACCAGTTTTGCCAATTTTGAAAGCAGTTTATGTCCACCGAACTTCTGCTGCATTATAGATCTGAACTGGTTTCCAATCTTTTATGTGTAATTTCTGTCCCTAGCCTAAGAGGGGCTGTGCTTCTCCCACAGCCTCCTCTCCCTCACTAGCTGCTGTTGGTGCTGGCTGGCTCCTGGTCCCTGCCAGGCAGACTATTAACAGCTGAGCACCTGCAGCTGTGGTCTGAGCCTTCGAGGGGCTGAGCACCTCCTTACAGGGAGCCTGACATGACAGCAGGGGCTGTCTTCACTTCCACTGCTGCTCTGTGAAGAAACTGGGGTGCAGTGCACCACAGGAAAGAAGAAAGGGTTTAAGGAAAACACAGCGTAGTGGCCTTTATAGGTTTTAGCCTCCGTTTGAGAGATTTGCATTTCTGAATAAAAAACAACGCTTTACGAAGAAGCAGCTTTGAAGTTGCCTAAATTACCTTGCTGGTCACGAGCACCCAGCAAATGTGGGTTGATGATTTTAACAGGGAAACAGGATGGTGATGGTCAGAGCCCATTGCAAGAAGCCAGACTGTCACCTAAAGGCTGCACTGGTGAAGACCTAACAGAATCAAAGTGCAGGCTGTCCTGTAACTATGGCAACATGTAAAGCATTAAGTAACTGTTTCCCTCTAAATGAGCTATAAGATGCTCGCTTTATGAACAACTATATACAGTGACACTCAAATCCTATAGCTACTTCATAAATGCTGTGCCTTCCTCTATAGTTGTTGTTTTCAGTCTTCCAGTCAACAGCTAATTAGACTGAAGATGCTCTTAAATCCAGCATGCTACACTATTTCTTTACTATGGTAGCTGTTGACATGATTTTAAATAGGCTTGTCTTTT